TATGTGCATATGTCTGCATGCGTATGTGTGTATGAGTCTAGATCATGTCAGAGCCACAGAAGCTATCTGAAGAGTGGAAAGCAATATTGACTGCAGGTCGCCAATGATTCATTAGCTCCACACAGTGTAAGAGAATGCACTTTTTTTTTTTTTTTTTTTGACAAGGCCTCCTGCCCAGGCTGGAGTGCAGTGTCATAGTCTCAGTCCACTGCAGCCTCAACTTCCCAGGCTCAGACAATCCTCCCACCTCAGCCCCCTGAGTAGCTGGGACTACCTACAGGTATACACCACCACGCCTGGCTAATTCTTTGTGTTTTTGGCAGAGACAGGGTTTCACGGTGTTGCTCAGGCTGGTCTTGAACTCCTGGTCTCAAGCGATCTGCCTGCCTCACCCTCCCCAAGTGCTGGGATTCCAGGTGAGAGCCACCGTGCCCGGCTGAGAATTCACCTTTGTCTATGTTTACACTGCACACACTTTGTACACACAGCTGCACACACACTCATGTCTGTCACTGCTCAGATCTGAATTGAGAGCCACAAGCTGACAATGTTGTAGGTCAGGGAATGGGATGGGGAGGGGTGGTAGAGACCACAGGACGGCATGGTCCCTTGAGGAGGCTGAGGCTGAAAACAGAGCCGAGGGAATTCAGACGCCGTCTCAAATCCCACCTCCCGCCAGGCACCCGAGGACAGCAGATGCTCCATTAATAACCGCTGCACAGATGGAGGAATGACCCCTAGGCCTGGAAACAGGCTGGGAGGCTCTCCCACCACCTCTGCTGGAGGGTGTGAACTTCAGTCCTAGGTTCAAATCCCCCCTCTAACCCTGCCCATGTCAGGCCTGACTCCATCCAAGCCTCAGGCTTCTGGATTGAAAAGAAATGGTGGAGATCACGCCCAGTCCTAAAGCTGTCGTGTCGACCGGAAGTTCAAATACATAAAAACCTTAGCACAGTGACTAGCACGAGATCTGTTATTACAGATAACGTTATTCATAAAAATCCACTTGGCTTCATGCTTTGCAGAAAAAGTGTGTTCACAAAGTAGGAAGAAAAATCCAGCCTTAGAACCAAGAATCTTTACAAGGTCAGGAAAAGGGGCTTCCTTTCCCTGCTCCCGCTCCGAGGTTTTCCAGCTGCCTCCCAGGAAAGTGGGACTCTTCTACCACCTTGTGGACACCCAGGGATGGCAGATGAGCCCGCGCCCACCTCCTCGCCCAGCTCTGCTCTGCACTGTTGCAGCCTGTTGTTTTGGGTCTGACTGGGTCTCTCTAGGCTAACACTGTGCACGTCCAGTCTCCATCCTCTGTTCCTCTCTGGGCTGGGGCAGTTGGACGGGGCTCCGGTGCCCTCCTGTCTACAGGTGCACACCACCACACCTGGCTGATTCTTTGCATTTTTAGTAGAGACAGGGTTTCACTGTGTTGCCTGGGCTGGTCTTGAACTCCTGGGCTCAAGCGATCTGCCTGCATCAGCCTCCAGGTGGGATTCCAGGTGTGAGCCACCATGCCCAGCCAAGAATGCCCCAAAATGTTTGTACAGCACACACTTTGTACATGCAGGGGCACACACACACCCATGGCTGTCACTGCTCAAATCTGAATTGGTCCCCGTATGCGCTGCAGGGCTGCAGCAGTGCCCTACTTTCCTGGGTCCTGCTGAGGACTTGGTGGGGCTCCTGCCACCCTGTGGCCCTGGCTGGCCCCGTACACCCCTCCAGGTCTCTCTGCCAAAGTCCTTCCACCCAGCCTCCTGGCCCGACTGTCCCCACACTGAGGCTGAGGGTCCCCCCACCCCATGGGGCCACTGCAGCTTCAGCTCCGCATCCAGGCACTGAATGGGAGCCCCGGGGGCCTCACAGGGCAGCTTAGAGCCCCCAGTGTTCTGATCCCCAAGCCAGGCTGCGGCCTCTGTGCTGATCTGGGGTGGCTCTGCCCAGAACACACTCTGCCAGGTCAGGGCCAAGGCGCAGGGAGAAAGGAGCCGGATGCACCCCAAACACCTTCCTCCCCCTCGCTCTCCCTGCTCGCTCTGCCGTCCTCCCCACACGCCAAGGACCAGAGGGGCGAGGACCCTGGTGTTTCCTGCATGTTCTGCCAGCCCTTCCACTCTGGCCCCCTGTCTAGACCTACTGACAAGACAGAAGAATTCTGTCTACCCAAAGGGAGAAGCACCACACTCTGACCTGACCTATCAGCGGCTAAAAAGCCAAAGCTCCAGCCTCAGAAGGTTCTCACTTTGGAGACTTAAAAAAGGTCAAAGGACTTTTCGAAACCCCTTTCTTTGTCAGCAATGCTTAGAAATCAAACCTCTTCTCTTGCTGCAGAACCTCCAGATGATCTTTTTGTTTTCTCAGCGTTCCCCGTCTTCCCTCCCTCCACCAACAGCTAAAAGTCACAGCAGCAGGCGAAGCCGGCGACTCCCCACCTCATCCCCTCCTCTCCTGGGGACAGGGGCCCCAGTTCCCAGCCCTGTTGCGGGTTGGGTGTGGCCAGTGTGGCTGTGTCACAGGGTCCTCCAGCACACCTGGCTCCACCGGCAGGCACCGTCTGTGCTCCTCCCCCAGGGCACCGGGACAGAGCAAGATGGAGGGAACCCGGACCCCTGGAAGACTTCGCAGAGGTTCCCACCCACCCCACACACTTCTGCCAGCCTCAGGTGGAAGGAAGCTTCTACTTCGTTATGTCCCTGAGGTGTTAAAAGTCATCAGTTCGCGGCAGGCCACTTGCATGCAAAACAGAAAAGCACATCGGTATTTTTTTCAAACAATGACCCCGGTATAGAGATCAAATGAGTAGAACCAGTCCTCCAATGCTCCTTCTGTTCGGCCTGACCAGGACCTGTTGAAATTCCCTCCGTGTCCTCTGGGGCCCCTGTGCCTCTCCCTGACAGTGTGAGGTCCGCAGTCCGCCTGCAGTTAGCTGCCAGTTAGCAAAGGAGCATCTTCAGCTTCAGACCCCCGTCTCTCTCTCTCTCTCTCTTTTTTTAAATTTTCTTTTCTTTTCTTTTCCCACCAGGCTGGAGTGCAGTGGCTCCATCTCTGCCCATTGCAACCCCTGCCTCCAGGTTGAAGGGATTCTCCTGCCTCAGCCTCCCGAGTAGCTGGGACTACAGGCGTGCACCACCACGCCCAGCTAATTTTTGTATTTTTGTAGAGACAGGGTTTCACCACGTTGGCCAGGATGGTCTTGATCTCTTGACCTTGTGATCCGCCCGCCTCGGCCTCCCAAAGTGTTGGGATTACAGGCCTGAGCCACCCAGGTCTCTAACGGCCTAGAGGCTACGAAGGCCTACAAGCTCAGGTGTCCTAAAGCAAGCCCATGGCACTCACTCCAGCCCACACCTGCTTTGGCCTTCCTGACTCCACCCTCTTCTCTCACTGCTCAAATTAGAAACTTCTTAGTGCCACCCTCCTCCTTCAATCAGGCACGGAGTCCTAAGTCCTTGGGCAATCCATCACCTCAGTCCCGCCGCCAACACCCGACTCTCCCACCTGGGCCACCCGGCGAGCCCACCTGGTCCCCAGGTTCCCTCCAATCTATTTCACTCTGAACTTTATGATCTTTGCTAACTATGAATATGATCCATGTCACCTGGTCCCCTACATAAAACCTTTCTAGGCTTCTCTTTGCTATTGGAAAATAGCAACTGCCCAGGAGGCCACAGCTGGCCAGTCCTGCCTCCCCAGGCCCCTGCATCCTCCCCCTCCACTTCCTCCCCAGGCCCCTGCATCCTCCCCCT